TTATCCTCCCCACATTTCTCCCTCCTGCTCTCTTGAGATAGCACACTGATCTTGCTCTTTCACCTTCTTGCTTTTTCAGAAACTTGCTATGAGAGCAGTCATTTACATGTTAGTATGAATACAATCCTCATTGTTCTAATTATAATTGCTTTGTATCTTGCTCAGGGAATTTCAGCATGTAGATGGGAATGATATGTGTGTGAGAGGTGCAGTGGGGATTTTCCTAACTGGGAATCCCACTAGTGTATTGGTTAACATGAGAATTACAGTCTGATAAAATCTGCCTGGAGAATTTTGAGAATGGGGCAGATGCACCAGGTGAGGTATTAGCTGACTGATTCCTTTTCCCACTGGAGTCTCTGTTGGATGCTAGAAGAATAGTAAGGTCCTTCGGAGATCGCCGTGCTGCCTTCTCACATTGCATAGAAAGATAGACTTTTAGAGCTGCGGTGCCTCTTCCAGATCACTTAGTCTAATACTCTCATTTTGCAGAAGAGAACATGAGACCCAGACTAAAGAAGTGACGTGTCCAAGGTTCCACAACTTGATAGTGACTAAGCTAGAATTTGAAACCAGATCTCCTGATACCAAGTGTCCAGGGTTCTCTGTTAAGCCATTCTCCCTCCACGCTTACCCCTTCGTATTTGGTTAGGCTGAGTCAGTCAATTTCATGAATATCAATGAGGAGTGGCTGCTATCTACCCAGCTGAGAAAAATCTGAACCCAGAGTCACTGATTTATTGGATAACAGAACCTCAGAATCTCAAATGCCAGGAAAGGAAGGGACCTCAGAGGCTAGCCTGAGCAAGAATCTCATTGAGAACACAGTCTCCGGGTGGTTATTTGAGCCTTGAAGAGCCAGAGCTAGTCCAGTCCTCTTTTGGACAGCTCTAATCATGAGGGAGTTTTCCCTGAAATTAAGCTGAAATCTGATTTACACTTTGGGGGTTTTCACTGGCTGTCCACTGTTCCTGGAATGCTTGCCCTCCTTATCTCTGCCTCCTGGCTTCTTCAAGACTTAGCTAAAATTTCACCTTCCTATGGATAGCTGGATGGATGGATAGATAAAGAGGGATGGATAAATGGATAGATGGATAGATAAAGAAATGGATGGATAGCTGGATGGATGGATAGATAGGTAGAAATGGATAAATGAATGGATGGATGGATGGATGGATGTATAGATAGATGGGTCGATAGATTGATAGATGGGTAGATGGATGGATGGCTAGAGAGATGGATAGATAGTTCCTTGTTAATGCTAATGCTTTTTTCCACTGTTGGTTACTTCCAATTTTCCTGTATATAACTCATTTGTTCATAATCATTTGTGCATTGTCTTCCCCATTAGACTGTGAACTCATCAAAGGCAAGGGCTGTCTTCTGCCTTTCTTTGTATAGTCAGCACTTAGCACCATGATTGGCACATGGTATGCATTTAATAAATGTTTTACTGGCTGCTTGACTGATCACTTCAATGTCTCAGAACGGCATCTCTGGGCCAAGCAGAATAAGTCCAATCCTCTTTGGCCCTTTCAAAATTTGAATACAGTCATCATGCCCCTGCCCTTCTGCCCCAAGTCTTCTCTTTTCCAGCCTAAACATCCCTGGTTCAGTTGATTGATTATCCATCCCATGGCATGGCCTCAATAGATTTCTTGGTTGTTCTTCCAATAGGTGCCCTCCAGCTTATCTATGCCTTCTTAAAAGGTGATGCCCCAAATTGAATACACTTGTCCATTTGTGTCCCAACAAGGGCAGAATAAGGGGATGACTTCCATCACCACTGGAATCTCCAGGGCATCACCTGCCTATTCCTGGATACTCCTTTAATACAGACTAAGATGGTATTAGTTGAGTTTCCCTTCCAGCTTGAACTTCTGGGGTCTGGTGATCAACATGGTAAGTCTCTTCCTCCCATTCCTTTCCGGGACCACTCCAGAAATAGAACAAAACACATGATCTTATAGACAATCAAGGTCAGCCTCATTATTTTATAAAGGAAGAAAACAAGGTCTCAAGAATAGGGGGGGTAAATTTCTTCTAGTCACAAGATTAGAATGGAGGACTTGGAAGAGAGGTTGATGGAGAGGGAAATGCATTGGATAAAATGCTGGGCTCAGCTTCAGGAGGTCTTGGGTTTGAAACATGGATCAAACACAAGCTGTCTGACCCTGGGTATATCATTGCAGATCCCTGGGCCTCAGTTTCCTCATCTGTAAAATGATGATGTCTAAGGTCTCTTCCAGCTCTGAATCTATGAATCTTTGAATTTCTGGCTCTAAATTTAATGTTGATTCCAGTTATATCAACTAAGGTTTCATGTGTTTAAAACAATATTACCATAGATAGATATAGGTAGATAGATGGGTAGGTAGATGGATGGATAGATGGATGATTAGGTGGGTGGATAGATGGACAGATGGTTAGATGGGTGGATAGATGGATGAGTGGATGGATGGATGGATGGATGGTTGGATGGGAAGATGATGGATAAATAGAGCATTTGTTGAGTACTTATTACATGACATGCCCTGTGAGGGGCATATAGAGGGGATATAAATACAAGAGACTGAAAAGTGGAGGTAGAAGAAAAGTGAATATGCTGGGTTTCCTTATGAAGAGACAGCACAGGTCAGGGACTCAACAATCACAAGTGAGAGCCACAGGGTAGAGGTATCTCAAGAATAAGAAGACAGCTGCTGATGAGGAGGTAAAACCTGGAGAGGGAGGAGTAGCACCCTTCTCCTGTCCTCTTTTCTCTTTCTCTGTTTTTAAAAGCATTTCCTGTCTCTGAATCAGAAGCTCCACTGGAGAAAGGAAGACCTGAGTTCAAATGTGGCCTCAAACATTGACTGGATGTGTAATCTTTTTTTTTTAAAACATGCTATATATTTTTTTAATAAAGTTTGTAGTCCGATGGGCACACAAAACAAAACTGTGCTGAGAAAAAACAGTTCCAGAAATAAAGAAGTGTTTGAGGAGGAGTTGGGGAATAAACAATCTCTTTGTACAAGTGTGTAACACTCCCACATCAAGGGGCATGGAGGAGGGGGGCCCCATGAAGTTTTGGGAGAATGGAGGAAGGGAGGGGTGAGTCATGTTTAAATGAAGTGCACTTACACATGAGTGACAATACAAAATCTGAGTATGAAAATAAGATTTTCTCTGAAAACACATTTTTGGCACAGATTTAAAAAATGTATGTCAGGAGATTTGATTTTTTAAAAGTCAGTATTATATATTTTATATATGTTTATATATACACACACCCACTGAGTTCTGCATATCCCACCAGGAAGGAAAACAAAGTTTCCCCATTGCTGTTTTTTCCCCAATGTAAATTGTACATTCCAAATGAACTAAAGATGGTGGCAGGGGGAGAGCTGATTAAGAAGGATGACGGGGGTCCGGAAGAGAAGGGGAACCAGGGTTAGGGAAAGGGGGCAAAAACAATCCAATGCAATGTTCCTTGTCTGCTAGATGTCTGCAGAAGTTCCCAAGTCCTGCATCTTGGTTTCACTTTGCATGTAATGTGGTACATCAAGGCATCCAGAGCGCCACCACATGTCTTCAGCTGCGCAAAAGTCCAAGTCTCTAATTTAGTGCAAAGGCAATTTAGGTTTTTTTCTTTTTTCTGTTTGTTGAAAAAATTATTTATTTTATTTTTTAGTTATTTTTAATTTTTGCTTATATTTTATTTATTTATTTTTTATTTACCCCTCCCCGTCCCCCCCTGCCCTGGCCCAGGCCTTAATCTACCTGCTGGGTGCATCATTGTCCATAAGCTAAAGTGTCATGTAAACATGCAAGGTAGCAGCACCACACTCAGCTATGCACAGTCTGATTGAGGCCACGCAGGGCAGGAAGCTGGGCATCCAGGAACAATGTCTTCACAATCTGCTTCTGTATCATCCTTTTTATCCTTTCGTCTGATTTGGTGATGGTTGGTTTTTTGTTTTTTGTTCTTTGTTTTTTTACTGCAGAGCCTTGGAAAAAATAAACCAACTGGCTGTGCAATGTTGGGCAAGTCCACTTAAACCTCTGTTTGCCTCAGTTTCCTTGCCTGTAAAATAAGGAGGTTGGACCAGATAGCCTCTGAGGTCCCATTTCTCATCTCCATGTCTTTGTACTGGCCATCCCCCATGCACTCTGTTCTCATTTCTGCTTCGCAGAATCCCTCTCTGTTCAACACTAAGCTTATGCACCACCTTCTACATGAAACCCTTTCTGATCATATCACTGCTAGTGCCTGTCTTCCCTCTCCATATTTTTTTATTACCTGTTGTCTCCTCCAATAGAATGTAGGGTCTGTTTCATTTTTCTTTGTATCTTTGTATCTCCTGCACCTAGGACAGTGTTTGACACACAGTAGCTGCTTTAAAAATTCTTGCTAATTGATTTTTTTGGTTGTTTGAGTCAGAGGTTCTGGGTTCAAATCCCACTTCTGATATTTACCACCTAGGTGACCTTGGATGCTTAATCTCTCCAGGCCTCACTTTCCTCCTTTGTAAAATGGGGGGAAGGTGGGGGGACCAGAGGCCCTCTGAGGTTGCCGCTGGTTCTAGATCTATGATCTTGTGATTTCTGACCTGTCCCTGGGTGAGTCATTTCTCCCAACTAGGAGTCTGAACTAAGGAATGGTCGGGTCTCTGGACTAGATGACACCTCTATGCTGCTCCTTAGAGAGACATTCCTTCCATTGTCAGCCACACAGATGTGAGGCTGTGAACAGAGCAGGGAAAGGGGAAAAAAATCAATGCCAATCTCTCATGTCAGAGAGGAAAAAAGAGAATGTTAAAGCCTAATTTCAGGTCTGACAGACATCACCCAGAAATATTCTTTCCTGAGGACAAAGGGCTGTATCCATCAGGTGATGGTTTTTTATTTTCCCCCAGCAGAGAGAACCTTATCAGGGAAAGCAAGGAAGCACACATTTGTATCTGTATTCCTGCCTCCACAAAGGAATTAACCGATTGGCTTGTTCTTTTCTTTTTCAGCTGCCACGTGCTGGTCCCTGACTGAACTCTACCTCCTCACCGGCGAAAGTGAGCAGTGATGGAAACCGTGAATTAAAATGACTCTGCATAGATGTAACCAAGGTAGGACCAGGGCTTGGTCCCAGAGTATGGAAATTTAGAGAGTGTTGACCAATTGTCTAGTCTTTGGAAACCTTTGGAGGTATAGTGGAAAAATCCCTGGCTCTGGAATCAGGGGTCTGAATTCAAATCTTTTCCTCTGATTCTTACATGTAACCTCAGACAAGACACTTAAACTCTCTGGGCCTCAGTTTCCTCATCTGTAAAATGTGGTAGTTGGGCTAAATGGCTGCTGAGACCCCTCTAATTCTAGATCTATAATCTTTCAGCAGTGTAGAAAACCATTGACCTTACCTCTTAATTAGCAATAATGCTTAATTACAATAAAAGTTTATTTTAATTATTTTGACATCTGGAAGGGACCTCAGCAGCCATATATTCCAGAAAAACTCTCCACTATGTTATACCTGGCAAGTGGTCACCTAGTCTCTGCTTCAAGACCTCCAGTGATGATGGAGAGCCTACCAAAGTGGATAGGAAGCTCATTCTACTTGGGGACAGATCTCATTGTTACAAGTTTTGTGTTTTTTTTTTCTCTCTTTGTTGTTTAATCCTTTCAGTTGTGTCTGACTCTTCTTGGCCTTATTTGTGCTTTTCTTGGCAAAGATACTGGAGTGGTTTGCTATTTCCTTCTCTGGTTCATTTTACAGATGAGGAAATTGAGGCAGAATGAAGTGACTTGCCCAGGATCACACAGCTAGCAAGTGTCTAAGGCTGGATTTGAACTTAGGTCGTCCTGACTCTAGGTGCCACCTAGCTGTCCCCTCCCCTTTTTATCCCTACATAAACCTAGATTTCCTTCTTTGCTTCTCCTTTGCTCCTTTTGCAATCAACTATTGCTCCTAGTTTTTCCTGCTGGGGTCAATCAGAACAGAAGGGCTATACAGCTCTTTTCCCATATGACAAGTATGACTTCAAGTATTTGAAGTCAGCTGAGTTTTCTCTTTTCCAAGCTAATAATTTTTCTGACCTTCAGCCAGATGCAGCCTTCCTTCTTCACATACAGTGGCCACATCTCAGATAAGCTCCTTTCTAGCCTGGTCCTGGACTTATCAATCGTTAATCGATTTTTTGGTTGGTTGAGTCAGAAGTTCTGGGTTCAAATCCCACTTCTGACATTTACCACCTGGGTAACCTTAGACGCTGAATCTCTCAGAGGTTAACCCAGATAGTAACTGTCTCAGGAATACCCAGCAGCCAGGTAGCAGAGTCTCCACCAATAAATGTGTGACTTGCTTTATGCCACTTGACTGAAGTGAAAAAAATCCCTAGTTGGATACATGACCTTAATATTAAAGATCACACTAAAAAATTAGAAGAGAAATAAATCATATCCCTCACACAGCTATAGGTAAAAGATGTTTCTTTTTTTGGCAAGTTGGAGTTAAGTGGACTAATTGGAGTTAGGAGACTTGCCCAGGATCACACAGCTAGTATGTGCCAAGTGTCTGAGGATGGATTTGAACTCAAGTTGTCCTGACTGCAGGATCAGTGCTCTATCCTCTTTGCCACCTAGGTGCCTAAAAGATGTATTCTTAACCGAACAAGAGGTAGAGGTGATCACAAAACATAACACAGATAACTTTGATTACTTGAAACTGAAAAGATTCTGCATAGACAAAATTAATGCACGTAGGATAAGAAGGGAAATGATGAAATGGGAAAATTTTTTTTTGTATCCAATTTCTCTGATAAGAGTTTAGTATGTAAGATATAGAAACAATTAATAAATAAGACGTAGCTATTCCCCAACAGATATGTGGCGAAAGGATATGAACAAACAGTTCTCAAAAGAAGAATTACAAAATTACAGGTTGAAAAATGTCCCAAATCACTAATAATAAGAAAAATGCAAATCAAAATGTCATGCCTTGAAAATGGGCAAAAATGACAAAAAAACAGCAATAGTCAATGCTGGAGGGGTTGTGGAAAGATAGGCACACTGATGCATTGTTGGTGGAGCTATAAAATGGCATTATGCAAATAAAATGACAAAATGTCTTTGAACAAGAGATCTTATTACTGAGTTTATATCCCAATCAAGTTATCAATAAGAATAAAATCCCCATATACATCAAAATATTTACAGCCACACTTTTTTTTTAAGCAATAGATACGAATTGGAACACTATGCCTATCAATTGGAGATTGGCTAAACAAACTGTGGTACATGAATGTAATGGAGTATTATCAATCAGGAACGGATTGAAGAGATATGAGAAGATGCCTGAACCTTTCCCTTTGTGGAGATGGGAGGTCCACAGGTGTGACATAGTGTACATGTTTTCAGACTTTCTCAATGTATTGATCACTTGTGCTGACTTTTTTCCTTTCTAAAAAAGTATTATTTGCTACATCAGATAGCGCTTAGGGAGGGATAGATACGGAGAGGAACATATGGGGTACTATGGTGATGTAAGAAATTGAAAACATCAATAAAAATTTATTTGAAAAAGTAAAAAAAGAAAAAATTCCTAGTTATGGCTGTTTCTCTGACATACTACTTCACTTGGTAATTGGATTCAAGCTTCCTAGACTACCTTACGGGCTTAATAATAATAATAATAATAATAATAATAATAATAATAATAATAATGATGATGATGATGATGATGATGATGATGATGATGATAACAATGATTAGCCTTAGGCCCCAGGCACTTAAGGTCCAAGGTGGATACTGTGTCTGGCCTAGGGTGAAAAAAGGACTAAATTCAAATACAACCTCAGACACTTACTAGCTATGTGACCTTGGGCAAATCACTTAACCTCTGCCTGCCTCAATTTCCTCATCTGTAAAATGGGGATTAATAATAGCACCTCCCTCCCAGAGTTGTTGCGAAGATCAAATGAAAAAGTAATTATAAAGAGCTTAGCACAGTGCCTGGTACATAGTAAGAGCTATATAAATGTTAGCTATGATAATAATAATAATAACTATTATTTATATAGTATAGTACTTTAAAGTATGCAAAGTGCTTTATATAATGTTATCTCATTTGACTTTCGTAATAACTTTGGAAGGTGGGTACAATGATTATTTCCCCTTTACAGATGAGGAAACTGAGGCACATAGGGATCAAGTGACTTGCCTATTAAGACAGGATTTGAACTCAGGTCTTCCTAACTGCAAGTCTGTAACTTTGTCTTTGCTGCCTTCCCAGCAGCTCCCACCCCCCAACTACAACTGAGAAGACAGCCAGGCCTGGAGAGGCTCCCACAGAGAGACATTTCACCCTTGTGGGAGTGACCGCCAGTCCAAAGAGTCCCAGGAGCAAAAGAATGGAAGGAGCTGGGGCTGTGAAGGTCAAGGAATATTGATGGCAGCCCTCTTTCCTTCTGGTTTGGCTGATTCAGATGGGGTCTGGCTTTCACTTGCCTGTGGACTCTATTAATGGTTTGGCTGCCTGGAAGTCCAGTCTTTATGGGCACAGGGAGTTTCTACATTGGTACATGTAGGCGCTTCTACATTGGGAGTTCCCTACATGGATAAATTAATAGTTCTGGACAATGACAACAGCAACCATAATGGTATATCTGCTGTCATAATCCACAAATTAAATGAAATGTCTTTTGAACAGTTACCATACACTAAATGCTATGAGGGAAATGGGAAATTATAAGATACATTATAATGTTTATTGGTGCTGTTGTTCATTCTTTGTTTTCAAAGAAGACCAGTGATATCACAGGGTGAGGCAGAGCTGCACAAAGTAGTCAGCCTCACTCTTTTTTCCAGAGTCATGGGAGTCCAGTGGCAGGAGAAAAGTCAATGCCCAGGATGCAGTGAATGACCTCGGTATCTTCGACGTCTGACCAAGCTCTAAGCGTTCCCCAGCGCCCGATTCAGCCACCTTCGTGGCCATTGGGACAAACTGGTCTCATTCGCCCATTCTGCCCCAGGGAAATCTTCACATGCTGGGGGTAGACACCCCCTCAAAAACCAACAGGTCTGAAGCATGCTAGTTACCCTCAACCTAGTTTAGCCCATCTGCTGAGACAGTTTAGCAGGGTGTGTGTGTGGTGCAGGTTACAGCTTCTTGGAGCCACAGGTGAGGGGCTGGGTGAACTGTGGACACCAAAGCTGGGTGAGCAGCCCTGAAAATACTACTATAACAAATATAATGTATAATAAATATATAGCATATGTTAAAATGTTATTGCATATTATACAATGTGTATTTATAGTATATAATAAATTGTAAGTTCCTGCTCTCAGAATCTAGGGTACGGGAAGGAATGGGACAAGAGAATATTATGAAAAGTTAGAAAAAATTGGAACCAAAAGGCTGAAATAGAAAGGACATCATGAGTCAATGGATTATTAATTATTAGCTGACAAGTACAGACAAAATTAGAAGTCGGAAGGAGGGAATCTCCCCCTTAAAATCCATGTCTATCCAACAGACAAGTTTGGGGTGAAGGGCATGTGTTATTCCCTTTTATGAGAGGGCTTCTCACTTTGCCCAAGGCTCCCTAAAGCTCCAAGCTTTCCAGGACATTTTCCAGGATTATAGATTTTTTGTTGTTGTTCAGTTGTTTCATTTGTGTTTTTCTTTGTGACTCCACTTGGGGTTTTCTTGGCAGAAATACTGGAGTGGTTTACCATTTCCTTCTCCAGCTCATTATACAGATGAGGAAACTGAGGCAAACAGGGTGAAGTGACTTGCCCCTGGTCACACAGCTGCTAAGTGTCTGAGGCTGGATTTGAACCCAGGAAGATGAGTCTTCTTCACTCCAGGTCTGGCCACCCAGGCCTCCTAAGGTCAAATGCTCTTTCCCCTATACTTTGTTGCAAGCTTTTCTGTTGTTTTTCTCAGGAAACTGCCGACTTCCAATATGGGGTATACCTGTATCTGACCTCCTCATTTCTATCTCCCTCATTCCCAGGCTTCCTCCAAGTCCCAGCTAGAAGGTCTCCCATTGCATCTGGGACCATTGCCAGCCACCTTGTTTCTTATCTTGCCATTGGACTCCGATGAGTCTGGAGGGGAGAGTGAGGCTTTGGCACAGCTTGGCCTCACTTAAATCCAGTTCACACACCAGTGAAGATGGCACCCTCCTGATGTCAGGGGATGAAGGACCATCATCACCACTACCAAAACCTCACCTCTTCCAGGAAGCCCTTCCCTCTATAGTTTGTTCACACATGGTTGTTTGTATGTTGTCTCCCCAATTAGATTGTCAGCTTCTTGAGGGCAGGGACTTAAAAAGCATTCTTTATATCCCCAGCCCTTACCACTATAGTAGGTGCTTAATAATTGTTTATTGACCTACTGACTGACCAACATATATAAACCCAAGAGGAAGCCTGCGTAGTGGATACAGAGATGGCTGAGGGACCAAAAAGGCCTGGGTTCAAGTCCTGCCTTTGATGTTGACTGTGTGACCCTAGGTAAGTCACTCAGTCTCTTAGACAACCCTCTGACACTGTAAATTACATAGAAGGTGGCATTGGCCTGTACTGACAGTTTTCTTGCCAAAGTTCCCCATACCAACGAAATCACAAGTCTAAATTAAAGAACTATTTTATCTGTTAGCATGTTATACGCCTACCTCCTGCCCTAGGGTGGAAGCCCCTTGAGGAAAAGAATGATCGATTTTTGTCTTTGTATTTCTAGTGCCAGGCACACTGCCTGGAGCACAATAGGTGCTTAATAATTGCATGAATAAATGGGCATAAATGCATGATATGGGGGCAGGTTATTAAAGCGAAAGCAATCAGACACCCTACCCCAGGGACTGGTCCAGGGCTATGATTTTAATGGTTCTGGGTTCTCCCATTGAGGAAATCCTCTTGACTAGTGCTCAAAAAGAACTCTTCTGCATCTCCCGTAGTCCTAGAGTTGCCTCTATACAGTAAGGAACTACATGGTTAAGTGAGCAGGTCTGTGACCCAGTCAGTATGTGTCATAGGCAAGACTTGCACCCAGGGCTTCCAGATGCTAAGGCTGGCTCTCTATCTATTCTACTACGCTGCCTCTTGCCCAGGGAATAGACATAAAAATGAAGATAAAGCATTCCTGAAATGGGAATGTAGAATTCAATTTACTTGTCTGGCAGGATTGCATAGCTAGGAGAGGCCCTGAGATGTGGAATGTCAGAGAAGGGGAGGGAGTGGTGGCTTCAGAACAAGGGACGTCAGGGCTGGGAGGAGCCTCAGAACAGGGGATGTCAGGGCTGAGAGGGGCCTCAGAACAGGAAATGTCAGAGCTGGGGAAGGAGTGGTGGCTTCAGAACAAGGGACATCAGAGCTGGGAGGGGCCTCAGAGCAGGGGATGTCAGGGCTGGGAGGGGCCTCAGAGCAGGGGATGTCAGGGCTGGGAGGGGCCTCAGAGCAGGAGATGTCAGGGCTGGAAAAGACTGTCAGAGGCAGTGGTCTGATAGAAAATGTTTAAAATGAGCTTTCCGGGGAAAAAAAAGTCTATATGATACACCCTTCCGTTCAATCAGCATCATTAACATTTTCTCCATCACTTTCTTAAATCTAGACATTAAAGCAAACAATAAATCAAGCTTTGATTTATAGCACTTGCTAACTTCTGCAGTATGAATGCTAACACTGTACATCTTACAACCAGCTCTTAGAAACCATTTCCAGCTTGGAACAGCAAAGCCCTGGTACAAACTGAGCTGTCAGACCTTAGAGTCCAACTCTCCCATTTTGTAGATGAGGAGGTGGAGGCCCAGGAAGGGAAATCCGTAGCACAGATTTATCTAAGGCCATACAGGTGGAAAGTGTTAGCACCAAGTCCTAAACCCAGGCTTCCAAAGGACAAATGCTCTTTCCCCTACACCTTGTTGCAAGCTTTTCTGTTGTTTTTCTCAGGGAAACTGCTGGCGTCCAAGGTGGGGTGCACCTGTACTTGACCTGTCATAGCATTTATGTAGCAGCAAGCATGTAAGTGTCTCCTTTGGGTCTGGGTACCCATTCCATTGCGGGGACACACAGTTTATCACAGTTTAATGTAAGGATGGGGCTCTGCCGAGGAAATCAGTCAGTTCACGTAACCTCATTTAAAGTGAGTGATAAAGTGCTACAAAGTGACTGAAAATAATCAATCAATCAGTTACAAATGCAGACTTTAGTCTCAATCATTCAACCAATCTTAGGTTTTAGCTTAAGTTTTAGTTCATCCTTGGATGAACTCGAATGACATATTTTTTGTCTGTTAATATTTTTTACATTTTATTTTTCCCCTAATTACATATTAAAACAATATTTTAGCATTTTTTCAAGTTTTAAGTTCCGAATTCTATCCCTTCCCTCCTCCTTCCCTGAGACAGCAATCTTATAGGTTATACTTGAGAAATCAAGTAAAACATTTCCATATTAGTCACTTTGTACAAGAAGACTCAAAAAAAAAAAGAATGAAAGAAAAAAAAGTGAAAAATAGACCACTTCAGTCTGTATTCAGACAATATCATGAACTCGCATGATATTGACAGGAAATCACTGCTCTGATTGGCTGAGGAAACTTGATAATGCACTGTGGCTCCTGTATAAAATCAAGAAGTTGGCTTGGGCACAACAGATCTGAGCATGTGCAGAGTAAAGTGAGTGCAGCTTTGGGGTTGGCAAAAGGGAGGTGGGTCATGCCTGATGAGAAAGCTTTTCAGCTACGGCCTTGGGTTAGATCTCCTTCATTTACCTTTAGGCTTCAGGAAGACCTTCCAAAGTTCGAAAGGCTGGAGGATTTTGGATTTCTCATTTTCCCATTGGTGTCTTGGCATTATCCCCTGGGAGAGGGGATGCAATATAGGAAGGTAGATTCATAGGATCCCAGCAAAGAAACTACTCAATAGCTCAGGGGGACCACACCAAGAGGAGAGAGAACTAGGAGCTGTGAGCCACCACTTTATCATATGCCCTCCAAGCTTGAGTCACTTTTCCCTAGGCTCTTTGGGAAAAAATGTTTTTATAACAACTATTTTCACTATACCATATTCTTAAATTCCTCTTTCTAAAAGTTAATTGAGTCTGGCTAACTATTTGATGGGCTGCTAGGTGGCACCATAGTGCATAGAGACTGGGGCTGGAGTCAGGAAGACTCATATTTCTGAGTTCAAATATGGCCTCAGACACTTACTAGTTGCGTGACCCTGGACAAGTCACTTCACCCTGTTTGCTTTCAGTTTTCTAATCTGAAAAATGAGTTGGAGAAAGAAATGGCAAATCATTCTAGTATTTTTGTGAAGAAAACCCCAAATTGGATCATGAAGAGTGGGACACAACTGAATCACAACCAAGAGAGAACTAATTGATCATCTGATAATCTTGAGTGGGAAGCACATTGGTGGGGGCTCATGAACTACATAAAACTAGACACAATCCCATTCCCAACCTTTTGTGACTACCCCTAAAGGGGATCTAGCACCCTGAGGACTTGACATGCCATTAAGAGTGGGGACTGGGTGAGTAGCTCCAGAGTATCTGATATATTAAAATCCCTCCCCATAGAGGATGGACAATGTATATGAGAAGAGGCAGCACCCTGAAACTGAGGGACACTAGATTTGCCATTTGAACCTAGACTCAAATTTCAGCTCTTTCACTTACTGGCTGGGGGACCCTGGGCAAATTTTTTTAATGTCCCTCATCCTAAATTCCTTCATCTATGAAATGGCAAGGTTGGGCTCCATGAGCTCTATGGTCCTTTCCAGCACTAGCTCCTATGATCCCATAGAAAGGCACAAATGTTGTCAGGAACAGCACAAAGGACCCAATTCCAAATTCTCACAGATAAAATATTAATTAACAAATGTTAATTCATTAATTAACAAATGTTAATTTGGATGGTTCCTACCAGTTTGGAATAAGAATATTGCTTTTACTTGACATCGAGTGCCCCTGCATCAGAGTTTCAGTTTCTTTCAAAAAATATTGAGACAGAGATTTAGAGTTAGAAGGAACCTTAGAGGCAGTCAAGTTCAACTTCCTCATTTTGCATATGAGGAATTGAGGCACAGAGAGGGTGACTTTTTCAGGGTCACCGTGATACTAAATGTCTAAGACTGAGTTTGAACCAAGGTCTTCCCGACTCCAAGTCCAGTGCCCTATCTACTATGCCAAGCTGCCTCTTCAACTAAATCATT